TGTGCTGAGTGGAGTACATCAGACAGAGAAAGACAGTTGCAATGTGATTTCATATGTGAAATCTAAAGAACAAAATAAACAAACGAAACAGAAACAAACTCATAGATACAGAGAACATTTTGACTTTTATTAAGTTTGTGAAGAGTATTTAAATCTTGAAGATAACCTGGTTTATTATATTTTATTTGCATTTGACAGATTGATAGGAATTGCTTAAGTGCATAGGAAGATTTTATTTTGTCAATTTGTAAGTCTATTAGGCTTTGAAGTGTTTGAGAGAATTAGGTATGTTAAATGTGTAAAATTTAAAAAGTGCCTGGGAGAATTTAATTTATAAATTGGGTTAATTATTTAGAATTTACTCTTTTAAACTTATCAGTTAATTGAGTATATTAAAGAAGAAAATGGCTGTGAATACTTATTTTTACATAAAGGTATTAGATTTATAATAAGACTTCTAAAATGAACTTAAAGGCTTAGGGAACACTAGGCTTTTGAATTTACAATTTTGATATAATTAATTGAAATTCCATTGTTACAGTAGTCATTTCGGTGTACAAGTTTCCCTCAGACATTTAAAAGCTCAACTGACATGAATAAGCATGCAATAAGTGGTAGTTATAATTAGCAGGAACACCTGCTTGTCCTTTTGTTCCTATGAATCTTTGCAGGGAAGCTTCCAGACTGTGTGTCAATTTCATGAGGTTCTGAGAGTTCTGATTAGCTGAAGGTAAGGATTATTCCAAAAACAAAGCCACACTTTTCTTTGAGTCAATTTTATTACTATTATTTTTCACACGGAGGAGACTTAGTTACATAAAGTGATATTCTGTGAGTTGATTACTGGTATTAGAAGCACAAAGGTGTGGAAAGTGTAACATGAACACAGTGAAGAAACGCCCTTTATCAGAGTGAGTCCATGTGACAGAAACACTTTATTCTAAACAGCCTATGTACAAATAAATATAGCTTTCAATCTATGTACAGACATATTCACAGAGAATAAACTGACGTGAAATCTCCATACATCTCATCCAGTGAAAATTGCTCATAATAAACAAAACACACGTAAAATGACAAAAATAACTAAGAAGTACATTAACTGGATTCTTATAGGGGTACATATAGGGGCTAAAATGCTTCTCGAAAATGTAAGCAAACAGAGGAAGCATAAGGTGACATCTATCCCTAAAAAAGATCCTTTACAAAAATGGCATTCTGATATTTTAATGTAATCTGTCCAAAAAACAGTTTGCGTGTTCTAAGGCAAATACTTACGTTGGGGTCAATGTTGACAATATGTTCTTTGTTTTAACAATACGCAAAGAGCAAAAGTGTAATTTATCTTCCTTTTAGTGCTAGCAGCAACTTCATGAAACCAGGAAGGTAGTTTTGTTCTCTCATTTTGGATGGTTCTTTGAGATTGCAGATTGCTTGGAGATGGAAGCTGAGATGGAGTTTTTTCAAACTCAGCTAGAAGCATCTAGATAGCTGCAGGGCACAAATACGGACTTGTATGCAGGGTGCAACAGGGTACTATACCAACAGAGGCACCCTTTTCTGGATGGAGAGTCTGTGTCGTTGGGGAAACTCTTCAGACCACAAAACAGCCCTAACAGGAACATCACTGGCTCTGGGTTCAGACACTCTTTCTTTAGGGCAAATATCCATTTAAGCATAAAATCCATGGGGTCCTCCAATTTAATATATATGTGTTTATTCTATATCAGTAATTTAGGTGCTCAGCTGTGGTGGATATTTCTAGGCTATTAAGTGGCTATGAGTCATTCTTTTAGCTTTCACTCAAATTATATAAACAGTTGTGAAGAAGTGAAACATCAGAGTTTTCAGTTGTGGGGACATCTGTGTATACATGTGTGTAAGTCTCCACACTAGGTGAGAAATTGTGTATTTTAGCAGAGAGGGAAAAAAAACCCCAAATAAATAAATAAATAAAAAAAATAAATTAAAAAAGGAAAAAACCCAATGCATCATGAAGTCTGCTGTTCTTTATGTCTTCCCATGGAAGGTTTATAATTTAGGCATAAGAAAATATTGATAAATTGCATATCTCTCTTTGCCATTTTTATAAGGGAACTTCTTAGACCTATTCTGTAGTTATATAAACACTCAAACAAATTTTCCAGGTATATATTTGCTAATTATCCATTTCACTCTCCATATGGGTGAACCTTACTTTGCATAACAAATGGATTCCTGAAAAGCAGTAAATCTATAATTTCAAAAAAAGAAATATTTTCAATATAGTATCAGAATTTGCTATTTAAAGGATCTGTGTAACAAGCAATTTTGAAAATGAGGAATGCTTTTGTGACATGAATAATTTTTTTTGATTTTCAGAGTTTTGTTAAAGTACACATCTAAAATTTATCAGATTAGGATTGTTTAGGACAATAATTGTATGCAATACAAAATAGAATAGATAAACTCCAATTTACAACAAACAACACAAAATAGGAATAACTCATGGACTGCTTATTAACTGACTATATTCAGAACCCTGAATATATGTATTATTGGTATTGTATGGCTTTAATTAAGACAATTGTCTCATGAAGTACTATAAAGTGCAATATTAAAAAATTAAGAAACCCAAAAGGCATCCATTGTCCTTCAGTTTTATACCGACGAGAACTGAAGATTCATTTAATTAGATGGCAAGGAATGATCTACCCTTAATTCATGCATGTAATTTCATCCTCAAAATAATTTAATTCAGGGAGTCAGACTTCATTCGTTTCTTGTGTGTGACACGATTTTAAAAAATATTCTCTTTTGGCTAGTTGAGTGTTTTAGAGAGTTGTCAGTTCCAAGGTCTTAGTTACTTACGGACCCATTACAAAGGAACATGCAACCCAATATGTGAGCATGTAGGAACAAATTCCCTTCCTTGTGAAATGTGGCCCATTTTCCTGGGCCAGGACACCCATCAACAACTTTACAATTCCTATCCGACCTACTACACAGAGAAGTAAATGCACTGCAACACTGGGTGATAAGAGATGGTCCAACCATATGAAAATGTAAGTTCCTTTTGGTAAATCAATGCATATAAGTGCAGGTTCAGAGTTTCTGAATAATCTCCAGGGGTGCTTCCCACATTCTGAGTTCTTTGTGAGTATGGGATTATGACCTTAACATGAAGCTCATGAACTTGAACTCACCAGGGCTTCATGATATTGCTGCACCCAGTGTCCATATTTTTCACCAGAGGATAAATGCCTGTTGGTGCTCTTAGGTTATTTCTGCGACTTTGCTCTCTTGTGTTTGTGAATTCTGTTCACATTTTAGTAGCATTTAAGAGAGATTTCTCCCCTAAGAAGCCGTCAATTACACAAAACCCAAGTTGTTGTGGGGGGGGCAAGAATGTAGCATTTTTGAGTATTCACATTAATGATGAAATGCTCATTAAACTGGCCAAGTGCAAGTAAAGCAGGGAGGTTCGTGGTGAGACCTTAAAGGGGAGTAAGCACTGGGTCTAACCTGGACTTGAAAACTAGACGTGGGACTAGAAAAGAAAGACTGAAACTCCCTAAGGCCAAGTTGAGAGTAGCTCATGGTAGGTAAGACACCTATTCAAATGCATTGGGGCAGACGCAGAAGTGCACTGGCTTCAACCAAATGCCTTGGACAAAGTTATAGGAGTTGCAGGAAAGGCAAGGTTAACGTGAATTAGCAGTGGAGTGTGACTTCCTAAAAGGTAAAGGCAACAAAGGTGTGAATACAAAAGGGAGCAAAGCGTTAGGTTTGGTCAGAAACTGTAAGTCAGTGGTGCTCAGACCTTATACTTGTGTGATCATTAGTTAAAAGGTTCCACAATTTAAGAGCAACATAGAATGTTTTAAAAGGCTTGGTGAAGAAGAGCTGTAAAAATTATTAAGAAGGTTAGGACAAATGACACAGAAATAAAATTCTAAAGATATTTGGATGAAAAGAGATAAAGGGTCACATAGGGTGACTCCCAACTACGTCAGGGGTGAATAGTGAAGAGGGCCCAGGTGCAGCTCTTTTCTGCCAAAAAGAAATATAAACAGGTTAAGTCATCAACTTGATAGGCTTGGGTTCACTTGGATGGAGACTTTTCTGACGTGGATGGTTGTTAATGTTAATAGTTGATGGAACTGTGTTACACCAGAAACATCTATGCTAGGACTTCTCACCCATAAAAGGGCTGTCCTTTGGATGAGGGTGATAGGTTGGACAAACTCTCTTAATGGAATTAAATTAAACCTTTAGCAAACTCCCTGCAAATGCCGTGACCCTCTTTCAGACTTAGGTATTTATCTGTTTTCAAGTAATTATTTACGGTTTTCTGGTCTGTTCATCATTTAGCGAAAGTGCTTTGATTTAGATAATTCGATGTTACACATTCTCTCACACATTTGAACACAGTTATCTATCTAGTCAGAATTCCAGGGTCCTTTCTGTCTCTAAAAAATCTGGCTGACTTGTGGATTGGTTTGTCCTGTGTAGCTCTTTCTTGCTCTTTATTTTTATTTTTATTTTTATTTTTTTTTAGCTGAGCCATCCTGCCACCTGTGGGCAGCTCAGTGGCAGCTCAGCTCAGGCCGGGACTCGAACTGCTGTTGCTCAGAGCTCGCACTCTTGAGTGAGCTCTTAAGCAACTGAGCCACTCGGCCGGCCCCTTTCTTGCTCTTTTTAAAGAAAATTGTCACGAGTCAGATTAAAGACCACTGTGGAATTCAGGTGGTTCTGAGCAAGGCTGATCCCCTGTGTGTAGGAAGGCATGTAACACGGCAGAGCATGCAGTATTGGGTGCTGGGGGGTGGGGTGGGTCTAGGTGGAAAACATGTGTTACTTCCATAGCAAACACGAGTGTGTCTATGATTTCTACAGATGCCTCAATTCATGCCACAGCCCATGCAGTTTCAAAGCTCTCAGTGAAGTGAAAAAAAATATTGTGATGGTGCGATGATAAGTAATGGAGTTTAGCTGGCTGTGAATGTGCCCTTTATTGCTTTTCTTGTCTGCTATACATCTCAAAGACTATGAAGCTGGGAGATTAAAAAAGAAATGCAAAGTTATAAAGGTAAGGAGCTCAAGTTAAACAGTGGACCAGGAGCCCTTTATCTATCTTTTCCAAGGCCTTCTTGAGAAGGGGACATTTTTAAATCTGGGGCTCTACATAGGCTCTTGTAATTGGTTAAAAAAAAAAAGCCTGAAATTTACAATTATTTTAAACTACATAGGGATCTATAGCAATGTGATACTTGATTTCTTGGGAATCCTAGTGAAAGTACATTAATTTCTCCTTCCTTTCCGTATTCCTCCCTACTCCCATAAACGCTCCCTTAATGACAACCCCTTACCTACTAATTGAAGACAATATTGCTGAGGGCATTATAGAAGTTGAGGATGTGTCTTTTAAAAATATTAAGCCAGGTGGTCACGTAAGATGTGACTTAGCAAGAATGAAGCAATTCAGGCGACAGCTGACTTCTCTAGAAACTGCCCTGAGAATATTTTCCTTTTATTTCTATTGGAACAGAGCTGCCTCTTATAATATGGCCACCTACTTATTGGAGTAACAATCTGTCTAGGTGCAAGGATGCTTGGCATCCTCATAATCTTGTGTGTGTGTGTGTGTGTGTGTGTGTACATGTGCATGCACTTGTATGTTGATAGATGTAGGGAAGAAATCATACTAAAGTTTTCTGAAATGCTTGGACTCAGATAGGTTATCAGACCCATGTCAGATATTCCAACCCAGTAATTTTAGCAGAGCGTTTTAGCAGAAGTCCCAGCTTTCCCAACTGTCTATTTGGCCAGCAGCTCTATTTGTTGTAATTTCCTTGATGAGCTTTCTCTTAAGGTGGTATGGCTCCTTAATAGATCATCTCCTATCTCCCTGTTCCAGAGGGGACAGTTTAAGAGCCACGAGCAATGGTGGGGAGTCTGCCAACTCTCTTCCAGCCCAGGGATGGATGTACATTAATATTATCAAATGTCTCATCAGCGAGGCAGCTGTGTTTTGCTGAAAGGGCTCCAAAGCACCTGATTTGTGTCTTCCCTAGAAAGTAAATTATAATGGCCCTTGTCAGGTGACACCTGTTTGAAGCCTTATAAAGCATTTCCCCCAAATATGAAACAGTCCTGGCCTCTTTTTATAATTTTCTGAAAAGGCTTTAGGATATTCTGCTGCATCTTCCAAATTGATAAATAATTCTACCCTTTAGTCCCTGCACATGTACTGTGCTTTCCTGAGCTGTCACTGCCTGGCTCAGCTTACAGCCTGGGAGGCTGCAAACCACCATCTCATCTCCAGCTTCAGCTCTTCAGGAGCTAGTCAGGTTCAGAGAGCAGCTGGACATGCGTGGGCATTCAGCGTGCAATTTAGAAGGTTCTGTTCCGGCACTTTCAGTTTGAGCCAAGTTGCTCTCCTGTCCTGAGGCTGCCGAGGGTGACAGAGGAGGTGACAGCAAGCAAGACCTGCTCAGTTCGCTGTGGACAGTAAATGGAACCATTTGGATGCAGCTCATTTATTTTCGATTGAGCAGTACGAACTTGGCTCTTGAATTTTTGATATTATTTTATACCCTGCTCCAGGGAAGCGAAGAGAGTGTCTGCAGTTTAATTTTTCCCCCTGTACTTTTCTGTTGTGTACTTTTTGCCTCTACGTCAACAATTGGGATATGGCTGGCTATTTCTGTAAGGCTGTAAATCTATATTCTTGGGGTGGGAAAATATATGGAGTGGGTACAAATGTGCACAGAACAAACCCTGGGAGATCAGGAAGAAATGTTCCCTTTGGTGGTTGGTGTGCGTGACTCTCCTTTTCCTTCACTATGGCAACCTTGATGCTTCCTGCTTTTGAATCCTGAATGCGATTGGGTTAGAGGGTGATGATGTGATACTGTGTACGCATATATAGATCTGGTATAAAGATATATATTTATATATGTATATACACAGTCACGCAGAAAAGGCATTAGAGATGACCTACTCAGGGAACCATGATGTGTAAAGTTCTTTCTTATGTTCACGATTTCAATGCTTTTAAAGATCTACGGTTGCATCCCATACATTTTTCTCTGGATTTAGCCTACCCTGACACATAACCTCCCAGACACATCATGAGGGGAAAGCAAGGGCAAGCAGTGGCGGGAGAAGGTGCCTGTGTCCCAGCCAATGAGGGCACACTGCAGTTACACGTCATGGTCAGTGGACATCACTGAGGTGGGAATGGGGCTTTGAGATATTGTCTTCTGGAAAACAAATTTTCATTAATGATCACGCGCTCCCTATGAAATGGAGCTCCCCGGCAAGTAAAATGCTCCTTGGCTGCTTGGGTGAGTCTTTGCTGGGAATTAATGGGAAGAAGTGAGCAGGCAGGGGGAGCATCAGGAAGTGCTGGCATAAGAGCAGGGCTGCCCTGGGACCTCCCTCATCCTGCCTGGTTTTACCGTCTATCTACAGTTGAGTCAAAGGCACCTATTCACGCCTTCTTTCAAAGAACAAACCAGTCAATCATACATATTCACACAAGAACCAACTGTGCTCCCCTCCAAGTCATGCACAGGGAAAACAACCAGAGTTTGTAACTAAAAGTTCACTTACTCGTTCTCTTTCACTCTAAGGAGCAAATTCTTGCCTCCATACAAAATTCTGCCCTTGATGAACGAATCACAGAGTTCTCTCAAACAACCGAAAACCAGACTTTGCAATGTTGGAATGGCTTAAAAGCTAGCATCCTGGGTGGCAGCCACCTTGATTTCTTGTTTTCCTAGTGGGCCTCCACTTAGAAGTGGTTTTTGCTTGTGAGTGAGGAGCAATGATGGGTGCTGCCTATTACTGCCAGGCGCTGTGGAGTGAGCGGAGGTTTTGTGGGAGGAATACTGAGGTTGCTCTGGGGCTGTCAGGTCTCCCTTCCTCTTTTCTCACCTGTGAGCTCTACATCCCGTCTCCCTATGTAAAAGGCACATGCTGACAACAACATCACAGCAGCATCAGTGACACAACAGACTGGAGACAAGAACACACAGGGGATAGTTTCCCATGTGTGGTGTGTGCCAACTTAGATGCAGGATGAGTGCTGAACAATGAGCCATCTTCTACTGACTTTTACAACTGATTTTAGAGAAAGCACAACTTAGAGAAATGAAAAACGACATATTTTTTTTTTCATCAGTTTAGTTTGCCTGTTTTTTTCCCCCCTTGCTGGTTTTATTTTCTATTGACATAGACCGGTGAAACCATACAAGGGGTCAAAGGGAACCTGGGGTCACGGAATGAATGAAATGAAAATATCCCATGAGTGCTGAGCAAACTCAGGAAATCAAAACCTTGGAGTGACTGGCTTGGAGCCAGTGAAAAGAAGCTGTTGAGTATTGTCCTCAGTGTCCTCTTGAGGATGAGTCCCAGATGGGGTCCCGGTGGCAGGAGAGACTCGGATGTTGCATGGGCTTTAACCAAATCCTGGTCCTGACACCACTAGACATAGGACTCAGAAACCTTCTTAGTGTGCAAATGCCTTTCCAAATATGTCTAAGCTGCCTCAACCCAAGCAGTATTGATCAGAGTCAATTTAGTTCTATTTAAAGAATAACGATTGTGTCAGACACTGAAGCCCTTTATGACCACACTGGAAGATGCATTAAAGAACCATGACCTTACATTCCCGTTGGGTGGCAAGTCTCACTAAGCGCCCTACTAGATGGTATTTCTTATTACACATCTGGGCTCTTTTGGCGGCATTTTGATTATATGTGAGCCCTTAGCATCAATATACGTCTACATGGCAATCACAGCTAAACTTGCCCCCTTTCTTTTGATGATAATGGGACATGCATTGGAACAATGTAGGGCCAATTTAAATAGTCTTGCTGTCCTAGAAGAGCGCTAATTTGGTTTGCAGTCATAGTTTCTACTTGCATGCTGAGGCAGTATAATTACATATTAGAAAATCCCCCAAGACCTAACCCTGGTCACCTTCCCGCTGCCCCAAAACTGGTATCTACCCTGTGTGGAGTTTCCCTCTGTCTGTCCTAAGTAACCCTGTGGGGTTTTGTCAGTGTACCACAGTGGGGGTGGGCAGAGAGTCTTCCTTGTTTGGCTTAAGGGATATTTTGGAGGGCTCAACTCAGGTCCCCTGTAGACCCTCTCCACCTGGCCCTCCCTCCTGAAACCATTTCTTCTAAAACATCCACCTTAGCAGGCAGGATCCCAGTAAGTACAAGGTAGGCTGAAGGTCACAACAATGATTCCCTTAGTTCATCTCTTGCACTTAAGAGGTAAAGCTCAGGCTGAAAGTTGATGCTCCTCTTCAAATAGGTACTATAAATATACTAAAGCTATCCCTGAAAAGATGCATTTGTATTTTTATATATATATATAATTACATATATATATATAAAATGTTTCTTTGTGTTTGTATACAGGTATGTATTATTCTATAGGCATGGAAGGAGAGGAAAAGTACAGGAACAGGCGGGTGTGTTCAGGTGCATCTACTTATAAAGTGTGTATTTTATATGTATATACACAGCCTCTGTCATTGTTTGCATCATCACAATGAATGTACCTCCGACCAGCGAGGAGTACCTGTCAGTGGTGAGTGGAGAGAAGCCTCAAACGGGCAGTTCTCTGTCTCTTGCATGAAGACGTTTCCATAGGCAAGGGTGAAAGCAGCCTGTGGCGTGAGCCAGTCCGGTGTGAGTCCGTCCCTCCTCACGTCTGCCAAGGAGGGACCAGGGGTTGCATGCCAGCTGCCTCTTCTCGAGAGGTCAAGGAGCCCAGAACCTGGGGAGGGGAGGGACCATCCAGGCTGTTGGTTCAAGATATGGCTTCTCTTGCTAGATAGAGACTGGGCACACAAGGATTCTGTCTTCTAGGAGGACGCTGACCACCAGGAACACAAAGTAGAGGCCGAACATGATGAAGCCCAGCACTTTGTTCATCCGCCATTTACAAAGGGCAATGGAGAGGATGACGAAGAGCAGCATGATGAAGAGGAGGACGATGGCGCAGAAGAGGCCATTGCTGCTGACGGCCACTGGCTGGAATCTGTGAATGATGGTGAACAGGAGCCACGGCAGTGGGAGCCTGTGAGGGAGAGAAGCAGGGGTCAGCAAGGGAGCAGGCAGACGTGTTGGAGAAGGCAGACGATGCAACATTAGCTTCTTGGGATCTATAGTCAGAAGAGGGTGTCTTCTTAGGCTCGCTATGACTCAGGCATGGCTGACTCAGGAAATCGCATAAGCAAGTCAGGTGAACTTCAAACACCTTTACCTATTTCTTCACTGAATGAGGGAGAATAAAGAGAATTTGTTCTACAGTTGAATGAGGTCCAAGACGTGACTGCTACAGGTGACTTCTGAATTTGATTTGAAATAACTTTTTGTTTCTTTCCTAGGTGAGATTAAAATGTCACCCTCAGCCCTAAAGAGGTGAACTGGAGGGTTTGTGCAGGGTGGGAGGAGAAGACAAATGGAGAAAAAGTATAGAAGTCAGCAGTGAAAATGGCAAATTATTTTTCAAAATGGAGAGAGAGAATAACAATGACTTAACAACCTAAAACCAAGTGAAAACTAAATGATGATTCAATATAGTTGTCTGAAGTTTATTTTCAAAAAGATGGACAACCTTTTCACTACAAAATGGTCTTTCTGGAAGGTTTGAGAAAGACAGTATGTTACATTTATGATGTGATTTTAAAAAACTTCATTAGGTGTTTTTATACTTGTTCTCCTCTCCCTTTGCATTTGACTTTAAAAATATGACAACATCTTTTGTTTCTGACCCAGAGTGGCCATTCTGAAAGACCTCAAAAAAGCTGACTGCCCCATGCACCATGAGAGTGGGCTGGGACCCTGTGGGAGAGGAACACAGCTGACAATGCACGACTCAGTGGCTTGTGCATCCCCAAGTGGCTGGCTGGGGTGCAGCCCAGTTCCACCCATTGAGTAGATGGCATGTTGTTTAGGGAAACAGACTCAACCACCCCGATGGCTGAGCCATCTCCCTAGCAAATGGCTAAGGGAGATTCAGTTGTGGCCTAGCCTCAGTGGTGTGAAAGTGGAGGTGCCATTTTGAGACACAAAGTTCTCCCAAGGAAAAGCATAGAGCTTGAGAGAAATAATGAGGTGAAGGGGGCAGTGAGTTTACACATCTGTCTCCTCTGCTGAGGAGAGTGCATGTGAAGGTAGAGCCCACACGTTATGCATCTTTGAAATCCCAAGGCCTGGTGCATGCACATCCCCATCCAGGTGCATGTGTTAACCTGGGCCAAGCTGAAGTTATTGATAGGACAGCCTCATGGTGATCAGTACAGGCCCTTTGACCACTAAAGCCTGTCTGAGAGGCGCTTATTTCAGTGGGTATATCGGGAGGGGAGAGGTTCCATAGGACCAGCTCAGGGAATAAGGTGTGAATCCAGCTCTCCGTAGGAGGGGGCAGCCTTGGCATCCTGCAGTCAGCGATGGAAAGTCAGGAAAGGGGAGGGTAGTGCCTGGTGGTGATGATACAAAAATGAAAACCTCTGCTAGGGACATATCCTGGGGAACTCTTTTCCCACACTTCCCATCTCTTATTAAGCCACACACACACACACACACACACACACACACACACACACACACACTCACTCTCTCTTTCTCTCTCTCTCTGATGAACTGTAGTTAATGGCACTATGAACAGTTAAAAACCCTTTGGGGGAAAGATGATATTTTTCATACCTTTTGACCTATCAGTTCTATTGTTAGTATCAAGCATAATGAATAATTTGAAATGCAGATATAATTTTATTCAGAAAAATGATAATTTGTTATTTTGAGTTGTGAAAATTTGGGGATACCCTAATCTCTAATAATTGAGAACTTGTTAAATAGTCAACTATTAAGTTTACATAATGTTTTGTAGTTATTAAAAATCATAAGCTTATGAAGACGCAGGCAAATACTCATGATATAATTGTATATTTAAAATGAAGGATACATATAAAAATAGCAATGTAATTTCAATAATGTGAAACATATATGAATTAAAAAGGGTGGTGGATTATCAATAATTTTTATTTATGCTTTATATGTATTGTCTAAGTCCTTTACCATGAGTATGTATTAACCTTACAAGCAAAAAAAAATGCAGGCAAGACTATGAAGAAACATTAATACTCAATATATTGCCAACAATTTCATAAATTGGTATAAACTCTTTGGAAAGACTTTTTTGAAAAACATACATCGATAGTCATTAAAATGCTCCTAAACTTTAATTCATTAATATTTCTTGAAGGAATTTATCCTAATTAATATAACTAAAAAGTTTTTCTGCATAAAAGTGTTCATAGAAACACCCATAATAGCAGAGAATTGGAAAAAATTAAAAGGTCTTACTAAAGGATAATGGTTAAGCTGAGAAGCAACAGGGTGGAATATTTTGAAGCCATAAAATATTAATTATGAGAGCTATGAGGAAGCTTAGAAAAATGGTTGATTTACTAATTTACTAATAGATGCCTACTCTGTGACAGGCATAAGTGCCTTTAAAATGGAAAAATAAAAAGCCCTCCAAGAGAACAAAACTGATATTCCCTAAAAACTTTGTAAAATATTTGGAATAGAACATACAAAAGCTAGATGTTGTTCTTGGGTAGTAGAATTAGGGATGACTTTTCTTTAAACTTTCATTTGTTACTAAATATACAATTTAGGAACAATCAATAAAAAACATCTTGGAATTCCCTAGAATATTTATCTTTCAAAAACATGACAAATATGGCTTAGAACAATTTGTAATTTTTCCCAATTTGTAGGATTTTCTTTTATACTATGTAACATTTTATTTTCCTTTTTATAAGAGATTGACCAAGAAAACTACTCTAAATGTGTAGGCAGTGGAACTGAGAAACACTGTTTATGTTAGGGATACCTTTCCTTTAAAATGTACACCTTTTAAGGCATCCAGCCATCAATCCATCCATCCATCCTTCCATTCATCTATCCATCCATCCATCCATCCATCCATCCATCCATCCATCCATCCATCCGCCCATTCATCCATCCATCCTACAAACATTTGTCAAGCCACTACCATACATTAGGCAATGTATTAGTTTTTGGTGAAATCTTGCTCTTGGGGAGTTCACAGTTTAGCAGGCAGACTGATGTACATGACCATGACAAAAGTACAATGTGCAGAAAGTATACAGGAGCAAAAGCTCCCAAGGTCAGGCCCAAGAGAATCAGAGAAGCCCATATTTTAGTTGACATTGGAAGGATAAGTTGGAGTTTTTCAGGCAGGGAGAGCCCTTGAGTGACAGGGGGCAGTAAAGAAAGAAAGAATGGTAGGAAAAGGCACCTTTGGAACTTTAAGGTGGTTGAGATAGTGGAAGGTCAGTGTAGGGTTTTATGCACAGATAGTGCTATAGTTGAGAGAACAGATTCTGTTCAAATCCCAGCCATCTGATTTACTAGTTCTATGAACTCTGTGCCCTTCAGTTGCCTTATCTGAAAAATGGAGATGATAAAATATCTCATGGATCTTTGTATATATATATATATATATATATATATATATATATATATATATTTAAGCTGAGCCATCCTGCTACCTGTTGGCAGCTCAGTGGCTGCTCAGCTCGGGCTGGACTCGAACCGTTGTTGCTCAGAGCTCAAACTCTTGAGCGAGCTCTTAACCAACTGAGCCACTCGGCCGGCCCTCTTTGTGTATTTTAAATTGATAAAAATGTGTATGTACAATGCACATGGTAGATACTAAATGAAGCAAATATCATATATATTAGGTAATGGAAAGATATGAGAGAGAACAATATTCAAGGTGTTCAATGAGAGAGTAGGTCCATGTTAGTGAGTTTCCAAATTCAAGTGTCAAGAGCCCAGTTGTTCTGGGAATACAGGATAACATCCCACGTTTCACTTTCTCAGGGGCTGCCATTCAAGGTTATTTATCAGACTAATTTTACTTTGGACAAGTTAAATGAAATGACAGAAGTTAACAGCTCTCCTCCCCAATCTGATCCACTTTAGAGATTATTCATATTGAGACCTCCAGTTTGCTTCACTGTAAGAACAGATCTCCTGACTTTCAAAAAACCTGGAATATCTTTATCAGCAAAAGATGACAGCATTTTTCCAAGGAAGGAGATGGGATTTTTTCCTGGGCCTGTGTTTGTTCCAATCTGCTTTACAATCCAAATCTCACCTGAGGCTGGTGGGGACTTTTTAATTAGAATTAGAATATGGAAAAAAATAAAGTGAAACGACCAGAGCATCTCAGTCATGCCTGAATATTGAATATTCACAATATGTAGCCAATGCCATTATATAAGTGAAATTCTCTTAAAGTATTTCCTGCAACATCCACTCTGTAGGCAGGTATGTGTTTCTGCCTGTCTAGGGATAACTCTTTCTTAATTAAGTTCTCAGAAAATGAAAAATAGAGTTGGTGAAACTGAATGATACTACTGGTATTTACTTTCAGTTAATATTGGTTAGTTTTGGGCTCAGAGATACAGGTTATGTCTTCACAGTTTCTAAGAAGATAAAGACAGTGATGGAGCTGGTGTGCATCTTTATAGAATTATGTCTACTCACCCTACGGTGATGTCAAAAATGTTGCTTCCAACAGAGCTAGATACAGCCATATCCCCAAGGCCCTTCCGGGCCACTATGACACTGGTGATAAGATCAGGGATGGAGGTCCCAGCAGCCAGGATGGTCAGACCCATAATCTCCTCACTAATGCCAATTGTCTCTCCAACCTAAAAGTGATGACAGAGACAAACATATGAGTGTTTGTAGTCACAAAGCCATCAAAACCACAAACATTTCAATGCAACACCCTTTTAATAAGTTCCTATTCTGCATGTTGCTGAGGGCTGAGAGGATATAGAGGAATAAGCTACAATCATTGCCATAGAGGAGTTTATATTTTAGTGATATTCAGACCCACGAGTTTGGGAATGTTCACATAAGGATTAAGCAGATAATCTCAAAAAAGCCCTCTACAGAGGGCTAGAGGACAGCCTCTATATGGTGTTTACTCTGGGCAGAGGAAGCTGAAAATTAGTTACAAAAGTGGCTCCAGGGGCCAGTGCCTGACAATGGCACCAAGTCTTGTGTCAGATTTGCTCTTGGATTTACTATTAAAGTTAAGGAGTTACACCCAGCACCCCCATTTTCCCTTAACATCGCGTAGTGTCTGTAATCTACTCTTAAAAACTTAAAACTACCATTTCCATAGGAAACTTAATTTTGGGTAGTTTTGGGTTTGGTAATTCGGAACTGTAAACCAGCAAGGCAGCTGTGAAGAAACCATCAGTTAGGGAATCAGAGGACCTCGTTCCAAGGTCTGGCTCTGGCATTCATTAAGTACTTGACCTATTGCTGACTGAGCCAATCGTACAAAGTATTTGATCCTCACTTTTTATCCATCAAGTGGGGATGATCATACCTACCTTCAAGGTGGTTGTGAGGACTAAGTGATGATTTGTGGAAAAGTCCTTAGTAAATAGTACATTATTAACGAAAAGCAAGGGGGACAGTTATAATATTTTCCTTTGCTCTTTGCTTTTAAGACTGATGAATTCTATCATGGACAGTTGGTCTAGTCTCAGATGGAAGTTCCTCCATTCTCTTGAGCAACTTGCTTTTCTTTTTGGGACTTTTAAAAGCTTTATATACTTTGTGGAGCTGGTGAACTGAAAATCTTTCAGATAATGCTTTCAATTCGGTTTCTAAAAGCCTACATGATGATGGCCACCATTTTTGGAAAAAATTTAAAGAACTAAAGTAGCATGTAAGGATAAAGGTTTTTATGGAATAGAATAAGCTCCTTTATAAATCCCACCCCTGCTTTTAAAATATATTTTTGATTTATTATTTTTTTAATTTAGACATGATAGCTTAGATCCCATTAGCTTAAAAGCATAGCTGGGAAGTTTTTTTGTTTTCCTGGTCATGCCTGCCCTGGAGCATGGTGAGCTGAACCAGTTTGCGGGGTCCTCCTGGTGCAGGTTCAATGCTCCCCATTAGAAAGTAAGCTCCATGTGAGCAGGATCGTCACCTTAATCACTATGGTCTTCCTATTATATAGGCTGGTATGTAGGAGGCTCTCAGTACCTATTTGCTGAATAAACAAATCAATCTGCATACTTAGGTGATTTCACTAGCATGTTTTCACTGATTCTCCCAAAAAAGAGTTAAATAAAAGTTTTGCACAGGAATACCCTATTTCAGCAAAATATTCTCCTTGATGACTGACCTTTTTTTGTTAGATTGGGAGTGAAACATTTTCAAAGGCTGTGAAGAAGCTGATTAAATGATTGTCACCCTTAATAAGTTCCAATTTATTTACTACATTCTTAATAATTTAAATTCTTAGAGGGAGTTCTAAAGCAGTGACAGTTTCAAAAACCATTTATATTTAGAGTTTGAATGCCACTATGGACAGGAAAATGCAAAAATTAAAGAGGGGCGGTATGGTGGTGTGGTTAAGAGTGGCTTGGGGTACAGAAAAACCTAGGTGCAAATCCTAGCCTGCCACTCCTACTGCAAGGTAGCCAACATCCCTGAGGCTCAGTTTTTCTCATCTGTGAAATGGGGACAATAATATCCACCCTTAGAGCTGTGATGATTATATGTGATGATGCTTATAAAGCAAATAGCACCGTGTCAGGCATAAAGGAAATGTTCCATAACTCAGACACTACTCCCTTCTCTCTGCCACTTACAAGAGTGCAGGGCTCTGGCAGCAGGGACAGAGGCTGGTTCAGTGGGGTCAGGCCACAAGCATAGGAAATCATATGAATAATGAAGAATTTTCATTGTACATCCAACCCCTGATGAATCTGTGTGGCTCTAGAAACACTTTCATTGAAAGAGAACTACTGTACATAAGCTCATTTTGAGTATATTTCACCAAAGGTAACTTCTGGCGAATCAGAGGCAAGGTGATGGGTACACGGATGGGATGGCATCCCTCATGACACTGGGGAGCATCAGAGAAGTTTAGAGATAGGAAGGACATCAGTAGTCTCTCAGGGGGAATTTCCTTATAGAAGTAAATGATGGGACCACTCAGAATCCAAATCCAGTGCTGCTCCTAATATTCTGTGATGCATTTCCCTGCCTTGGTTTAAGGAGGATCTGCAAAAACATCATATTGGCTCAATGAGACATACGGTCCTACATGACTTTTAGAATGAACTCTTCATACTAGATGCAGTATAGATTTTAACCACAGGGTTTTATAACCCAGAAATTTACTAAGGTAAGTATTCATGATTCAAAAACAATTAAAAAAATAACAATGTGCATAAAACATTTCATGTGAAGGATATTTTTTTTTGGTCAAACAGTAGCCAGATAATTGTATCAAATGGCATTTATTGTTGGTAAAACTGTGGATACCAAAATAGTTGAGCGCTAAATGGTGTACTTGTTATCTTTGTAGCTTTTATAGTTCAAAGATACAAACAATAGAATTAGAGCTAGACTTCTTAGAACAGAATCTGCTATTTTGATCAGCTGTCTGGATGTTTTGAAAGAGAAAAGCACTTCTATGGGAGGAAAGAAAGAGAAACTTCTGATCCATTATTGGAAAGGAAGGCTTCTTTTCATTCACTTTATATTTCTCGGCCTTTTGGTAATTGTTATTGTTCCAGACATTGTGTTTGTGTTTTTCTGAAGGAGAATGAAAAGGAAACAAGATTGTGGAATTAAGATAACCACAAGAAAGAAAAGAAAAAGATGGAAGCCCGTAGAACAACCATGTTTTCTAGGATGGCTAACGAGAAGTGTCTAGAAAACAACATATTCCAGCAAGTGAAAAAATAAACACACACTTTTTTCATTATCAGTACATGAAAGAGGAAAAATGATTATTAGGAAGAGCCATTATACATTATAAACGGAAAACAGTCCTTTTAGCCTGGAGATCTAGAGGCTGAGAAGCAGCTCATTCTGCAATAATCTTTGCCAGGTATTGGTAGCAAATGCCTCTTAATGAATGTGGAAAATAATGACTTTGGGGCAAACAGAACTTCTTCAGGGGGCCAGTGATTTTGGGAAATATCCAGGAAAAGAAAAGTCAAACATCAGTAAAATAACTATGATAGGAATAATATAAAATATCTTGTAGGAATAATGCTGGGTATATCAGCCAACATTTCCAGTGGGTTTTGTTAGTGATGCCATATGTTCTTTTTTATTCCCAAGAAGAAACTCCATACCCATTAGCAGTCTCTCCCCATTTCTCTTCCACCTCCCCAAACCAAGGGAACCATTAACCTACTTTCTGTCTCTACAGATTTGCCTATTTTTTATATTTCATACAAATGCAATCATTTGTGGTAACATGTGATCTTTGGTGGCTGGCTCTTTTCAGTTAGCACAAAATTTAGAGGTTCTTGAACATTGTAGCATGCATCAGTACTTCATTTCTTTTTATTGTGGAATGGTATGCCATCATATGAATAGACCACATATTATTTATCCATTCATCAGTTGATGGACATTTGGGGTGTTTCCACTTTTTGGCAATTATGAATAGTGCTGCTATGAACATGTGTGTACAAATTTATGTGTGGATATTTTCATTTTTCTTGGGTATATACCAAGAGTAGAATCACTGGATCATAAAGTATCTCTATGTTTAACATCTTGTGGAATTGCCAAACTGTTTTCCAAGGTGGCTGCACTATTTTATAGTCTTATCAGCAAAAGAAAGGGTTCCAATTTCTACACATCCTTTCCAGCTCTTGTTTTTTGTCTGTCTTTTTTATTATATACATCCTAGTGAGTGAGAAGGAGTATCTCACTGTGGTTTTGATTTGCACTTCTCTAATGAATAATGATGTTGGGGAACTTTTCTTGTGTTTACTTGCCATTTTCATATTTTCTTCGGTGAAATATCTATTGAAATCTTTTGTGCATCTTAAAAGTTAGGATGCTTGCCTATTCTTTAGCTTTAAGAGCTTTTTATATATCCTGCATACCGTGCTTTATCAGATATATATGATTTGCAAATAAGGGATATGAATGGCACACAGTACACATTCAATCAATAACGGTTACCACTATTATTTCTGAGAACGTAAAACCTTCGCGTCTCATTCTTTTATTCATGTGTTACAACAAACAATTCCTGAGAGTTTGTTCTTGTGATGGGTATTATACTTGTAGTGAGCTAAAAGTGGTGAAAGTGAAATACATCATCATTTTTATAAACTGAGGCTCGAGAAGAGAACATTTTGTCTCCAGATCTTTTCCTAAGAGTCAATTTAAATGGCTGGTGAGAAGGTGAGTGGCTGCCCAAGAGGAAGTAAATGCCACTGAGTCAGACAAAACCTTGACATTGCTTCCAGGCCTGAGCTGGCCTGGCCTCAGGCTGTGGAGGGTGGGAGGCCACTAGGCTGGCCTGCCTTCTCCACACACGCCTGTCTGGGGCTATGCCCATTTGATTCCATGCTACAGGGTAATCCCAGGAGACAAGGGAAAGTTAAGAGGAGGAAATTCCTTTAGTCCTGGGATATCTACGTTGTCTTGTCAGATGCAATACTGTTGTGACAGTCTCAGAAAGCAAACACATTGATTAACCACTTGGCAAACAAAAGAAAAACCAGGCAGATGGTGTCGTTATCAAAGTCTTACCTGGTGTGCCCACCAGACCATTAAGTAAGAGAATATTGCAATCCAGGTGATGGCGCCGAAGAACGTGATGGGAAAAAACTTCCTTGCTGACTGAAAGAGAAAAAAGAAGAGGCGAGAGTGTCAGTGCTATCAACTCAGGTGGATTTCATAGTACAAAGCTAAAGCCACCATTGCAGCTTGCAGACTTGGTAGGATGGGCAATCAGGAGGCCCTACCCACCCCTGGTCAGGCCGGGATAGGAAGAGTCTCTCTTGGAGATGTGAAATTAGTTGGGGCCAAATCATTGCAAAGCTAGTGCCTGAGATGGAACTCTCTTAAAGAGAATGTCTATTCTTGCCGCTGTGGCTGGATGACCAATTGCCCTCTACTCTCACCCTTTTTGAGGCCTGGTTTCTCAGCTTTGCCTTCAACCTATTAACTACTCCATATCCTCCCTCCGTCTCCTGCTTCCTTTTCTCTCTTCTGCTCAAGTTCATCAGAATCAGTTTCTATTGCTTGCACTCATGTATCATAATAACCCACATGCCAGAAAACGTATGGGATTAATTACATTTTACAAGAAACAGGAAGAATCAATAGGTTCAAAAATAGATTGGCTCATCTTACAGTCCCATGAATTATCAGGAAAAGCCACACTCAGGAAGCCATCACCACAGTGTCCATGGACGCCTGGTGATGGCCAGTCCCAGATGTTTGAACCACACATGGAGACAGGAGTAGACCAAGGCAGAGATGTCCCACCATGTTGCTCTCCATGGGGGTAGCAGAGTAGATGCTCATGGGGATGTGTTCTGTCTGTTCTCCACCCCTAACCATATTATGTCCAACTCTGCCTCTACCACTGGACTTTGTGCAATCTCAGGTTTACAGTATGAGCACTTTGAACATTTCCTTCGATCGGTTGGAATTGGACACTCAAAATGCAGTGTTTCTTACCTGACCTCACTATAGGGAAATCCAGGCTTGCACTACTGTTGGTGGTGTTCTGTTGAGGCCCATTTTGCAAAATTGGTGTCCTTTAAAACATGCTCAGATAGCAGAATGTTCTCAGAGGGCCTCTCACCTATCATTGCCAAACAGTTTTTATTTCAAAGCTTTTCCACTTTGAGAAACAATCTCATTTTTTGCTTTGATAGTGCCATCCAATTTTGTCCAGAGAAATGAATCCTGGAGTTGACTAGGATGAAAGCTATCTCAGTTGTCTGAAGGGCTGACCTGGGGCAGTCACACAGAACGCTGTTTGCCCTAGCTTCTGAGAACTTCATTAAAAGGGAAAGATAAACTTGTACATGATAACCTGACCATCCATAAGAGGAACACAGTCTCTATCGCCCCAAACGAGGCTTATGTTCTCTTTACTAATTTTAAGCTTTCAATATATGATTTTGTTATCATTCACACAGCTCTGTTAAATTTCACAATAACCATTTCTCTCTTTTAATGATTGCTGCTTTTCTTTTGGTCATTTGTTAGCTTTTCTTTTGGCCATTTGTTAGACCAGTGGGCTTGATTAAATTGGGGGAGGCAGCAGGCCACACTGAGTAGACACATCCTTATCCTCAAATGCTTCCCCCTACCCCTCCCCTTTCTTAGAAGGAAAATATTTTGGCCAAAGGCTCAGACCCCTTCTGGGGATCTGAACACTTTAATGGGTTATAGGGAAAAAAAGTAATCAATTTTTCAAAGTGGAGGTTGAGACATTCACTTTTGAAAGCAAATTCCTTTAAAGCTGGGAGCTCTGTTGGATTCTGGAGACCAGATTCCCTGAGTCTTGGAATTGCGAGAGCTAAAAAATCAAGTTTTCCCAGCAAAGCATTTAGCTGATTACATGCAGTCCCTATCCTGTTTCCTCTGGTCATAAGTCACTGTTTCAGGATCCTAAGTGTGCTGAGGGTTTCATCTCCTATGGCCATGCTGTCACAGGGAAGAGAAGGGCCCTACTTGTGGGGCCACACATATGATTGACAGCTACCAGTGAACTTGATTCTGAGCATCCTGGAGGACGACGGAGCACCACCTCCATATTCTATGGAATGGTATATGTATTGGATATCCTGGGAGAGTCTCATTTCACAGAATGCTCCCTTCCCAGGTTAGCTTATTTACTAAGCATGTAGCTATTGTTTTAATTTTTGTACCTTTGCATGTCTGTTCATTGATATAATGTCACAAACTCAGAATTAAATCATTTGAACGTATCTGTCATCTGAAAAATATCATCCCTGAACCATGGAACATTCCCAGGGAAAAGGTAGAAGGTAAAGAATCAGACTAAGGACTTAAAGTAACTAAGTTCAAATCAGTATTAGTGAAAATTTCTCTAAATCAAAATTTGGTGCTTATGATTCTTAATCAAGAAGCCAAGTAGTAATGAATGAGCATCTAAACGTATCTTGGTCTAGTGTTGTATTAGGGGCTCATTGAAAAAAAAAGGTACAAATCATTTTTCTTTGTAACTTTTCAGGACTTTATCATGAACTAGGGGTAGATAAGAGCTGGGCACCTACTCTGTACCCAGATCTCGAGCTAGACATAAAATTCAAATCTAGGTCTGTCTGACTGTACAGCTTGTGTTCCTAACATCTAGGCTATACTAACTCTTTCCAAAAGAAAAACAGGGCCAATAACACTCAAAATATACCCAGCTCTAGACACATAATAATGATCATCATCATAATACTAGCCTATGCTCTGAATGCCAGAAAATGTAAAGAGCATCAGGAAAATATAGACTACCATTCCAGCTGTATGGCCATCTGCCGCACCCAACCTCCCCTGTTGTTCCTGCTTTGGAAGCATCAACCCTTCATGCCTCAGTAGCTCAGTTAAGTATTTCCCAACTGTCAAACTACCTTATCATTTCTAGTCTCACAGCCTAAATAATTCCTTTTCTTTCACTTATTTGGAACTAGTCCCTTTATTTGGACTCCATCGTCTCATTCTAGACATTACTGCCCAGTAGCACCTGGGCAGTTATTTGGTTACCAGTTTCAGTGGAAGGAAGAAAACAGCCCTTGAGGCCAAGGTCTGACTTGTCAATTTATGGTTAGTAATAGTAGCTCATCCTGACATCTGCTGGGAGTGGCCTTGTTACTAATTAGCAAAAAAGCAAATTGTGTCCATGTGCCAACCGTTTTGTTCCAAATGTAATGGTTGACTTGTATAATTGACAGCTAATGTTCTCATTAGAAGCTTTCAGTACATCAGAGTGATATTTTCTTGGCTTGAGAAACGTTGCTGGACATTAATTCGCAGCCCAAATTGGCCATATCCTTACTGATTTAAACTCAACAAATATTCACTGAGCATCTACTCTGTGCAAGACTCTGAAGCATACATATTTAACAAAGCTCTCCAAAACAATCCTATTAAAGATTAAAAGTGTGGTCTCTGGATTAAGAGGACCGGTACTGAAATCTCTGCTCACCAATTACCAGTGATGTGCCTGAGACAAATTATTTAACCTCTCTAAGCGTCAATTTTTTCATCTGTAAAATAGCGGAATAGCAATATCTAGTTATTCTGAGGATTTCATGCACATAAAGTATCTAGCAAAGTGCCTGGCACACAGTAAGTGCTCTGATAATAATGGCAGTTGTCATTTGATAATATTATTCTCATTTTGGTTTTTAAGAGATGAGGAAACTGAAACGCAGGGAGGTGAAAGTGACTGCAGAGACCTGGCTTAGAGTCTTGGCTTTTTCTCTTACTCAATGGGTGTGCTTGCACCAGTCACTAAACCTCTCTGGGTTTAGTGATCACTTCATCCTTGTTAGGACTGTGCTTGATATATAGTAGACATAATAAATCTATGTGGTGAATGAATCAATGTATACTAGAAATTGCAAAAACCCAGTTGGATTCTCAGGTAACTTCTTAGCTCTGAAGGGTCATGTTTTCATATCTCATTAGATGCATTCCTGATTTGTAAGAACACCCATTGTAGGTGATGAGAGAATACAATTTTGGGAGTGTTTATTTCTTTTATTATTTTCAATTTTCATGAAAGACATATTCCTCATTAAGGTTTACATTTTAGTTTTTTTACTTTCAAAACAAAGCCATTAATTTAAGAAAACTATAAAAATGAAGCCCACGCTAATGATCTGAGCTGGAAGTGTGCATAATTCAACAAACACTGTCATATAATTTGCATATAAATGAAGTGGAAATAAAAACAAGTGGGAGTGCTGTTTACTCTGAAACTAGATGTATACGTTTTTAAAGTCATGTTTTCTTTGTAATTGTTGTCAAGGTGTGGGATGTTCATCCCCATGGGTAATTCAGACACTACTGGGGAGGCAGAGCTGCAAGGCCCTGAGGTGTAGCAAATGCCTATTCATTAATAATTTTTTCCCTTGTTCTCCCCTCTGACTGGACAATTTTTCAAGCGGCCCCTGTGGCAGTCCATGAGGATTGTGGTTGATTGCAAACATGGCCATAACACTTGGTAGTTTCTCCCATCAAGAGATGAGGTCTATTTCCCCACCCTTTGAATCTGGGCTGCCTTTATGCCTTGCGTTGACCAATAGAATGCGGTAGAAGTGACAGTGTGAGGATTCCAAACCACATCTCAACAGGGTTTTATGGCTTTCATTCTTGCTGCTCTTGGAACTTGCTCGTTGTGAGTGAGCTCAGGCTGGACTGCTTAAGGATAAGAAACTGTGTAGAGCAGAGATGAGCTGTTTCCCTATGCCAACCAGTCCCACCTGTATATGTGAGCAGCAGAACTGTCTGGCTAAGCCCAGCCCAAATTGCCAATTCATATAGACTTATGGGCTTTAAAAAATGCTTACTGTTTTAAGCCACTAAGTTTTGGGGTGGTGTGTTACACAGCAAAAGATAACTGATATAAACCTAATGAAACTCTTCTCAGCTAGGCATGATCAAGAAGGCACTTACTGGCTTTTGTATCAACTGGCATGCTTTCTTTCATTTGGCAGTTCATATATGTAAAGGAGAACCATATAATTTATCTTCCAAATGAGTATGCTTTCAGAGTAGACTGGGACTATCCTGGGCAAACTGGGTTGTACTGTCACCTTATTAAATTTGCAATATTGTATTGATGGTTGTCTCTTTACGCTTTCCTTAATCACAGAATGTCATGGCTGCCAGGGGATCTAGAGAGCGTCCACCCTGTACTTTACAGAGGAGAAAAAATGAGGTCCAGAGTTGAGATGTGACTTTCCGAAGGTTGCACAGCTCATGAGTTGTATGTGAAAAACCACCACAGTCAATGTGGTAGAATGAGAATGCTCTGGAATCAGGAGACTCGGGTTCGAGTCCAGTTCCTCTCACTAATGCAGCCATGCAGTCTTGCTCTGTAGTTGTATGTGGGCATGCTTTGTTTCCTGTACTAAGTTTAGAGGTCCTTAAGATCGGAATTATGATTTCTGTGTCTTTATATCCCTTTTAGGGCACAAGCCTGATACTTGGCATATAATGGGTGCTCAACAAATATTTGCTGAGAAAATCTAAAAACAATTAAATGTTCCAACTGAGAGTCTCATTTCTGCTTGGGACAGCACAGATAAAAAGACAGGAAAGGTACAGTTCATCCCAGGGATGGCACTTGGAGATGCAATGAGCAAAAGCTCCACTGGCTAACCTAGCCCAGGCTGCATGCGCTGCCTCTTAGGGTATGCTTTTTCCTGTCCAGTCAACGGTACTGCAGAAGACACTGTCACATACAGCTGCGTTTTCTTGCTTTGCAACCCTGGGAATTGCAGCATTATCTAGCACAGTTGTCATGATCCAGTAACTACTGCCATAGTGGTTTTGGTTGTTGTCAAGGAATTGCTGGTTGAGAGCTTTGATCTTCTTGAACAACTTCCTTGTCCTTCTTGCTCAGATCACGGAGAGGACAAGCACTTTGTCTGCTCTTTCTCTAGGAGTCCCCCGCCAACCCTGAAAGCCCAGGGCCTTGGGTTATTGGCACGTTCCCCCCATGCCTGCACATTTTCCTGATTGCTGCAGCAGTGTGTGCTGACATCCTCGTATCAGTCAATCAGCCCCCTCTACTCTGGGCTGCACCACGCTAGGCCTGCTGTGGGGATTTAGAAAACAGCGTCCGTGTCCCTGATTTCCCTCCCTGGGTTGAGCAAAAGTATTAGGATAAACAGGCCAATGGAAATAGAGAGAGAGAGAGAATGAGTGAGCAAGCACATGTGAACATGCACATCTCAGAAATGTCATGTGATGTGAGTCAAGGAGAAACTAATTACATTTCAGCTATTTGGCTGTATAGCTTCCAGGACGCCAGGCCTTTGCAGATGCTCTGCTATTGCATCTTGAGGAAAGAAACCTAAATATTGCTTTAAGTGAGCCGTGTCTGTTACGTGCATCCTTTACTAGGAAACCTCTAATGATGGAGTCTTTACACGAGGGGGTCCTTCCTTGTCCTGAACTTGACAAGATGTGGTTCTCCACCAGGTTGGATTATTTATAGGCTAGGCTCATGGGACAGGGATTTTCTTCTGTCTTTTTCAAGTGAGGAAAGTGAGATCATCACGGGAATCTTAAGACTTATCCTAAATTACAATGGATGTTACTACCATAGTATACTATTCCAAATGCTTTTAGAAGCGATGTTTTCAGATTTCCACTTTCTGCCATCATGAAATATGAGGAGAAGCCCAATGTACCCTATTCAAATTCCTGGTCCACAGGATCTAGGAGAATAAAATGGTGGCTGTTTCACACCACTAAGTTTTGGAGATCTTTGTTATGTAGATTCAATAACCCAGGCAGTCACTATTATTGTGTAGCAGAGAAATTTCAGGCATATATAAACATGTATATACATCACCCCTTTTTCCTTTTAAGACAAATAGAAGCAGACTATTATATACCATGCTTTTAACAAGGAATCAACTAAAAAATGCTTTACTTACAGGCTTGCGGACATCAGGTAAGGTAACCCAGAGAGGAAACACTATGGGGAGAACAATTAGGAATGTGACTTGCTTGCGGGGGTTGGAAGGCCAGGCCAGGCTGAGAGGCTGGTCATCCTCGTCCTCAGCCGTTTCTGTGGTCTGCTGTAGAGACAGATACAAAAAAAAACCCAATGAAACAAAAACGACAATGATGTCCACATGCCACAGGAGCAAGAGCACAAGGCAAGGGAGGGACACTCCGGGCCTCACAGGTTTTTCTTGGGTCATCCCAGCAGCTTCATTTATGTATTTTTTAGGTTTGTAAGAGAACCCCATCTGTCACAGTCTGAATCCCAGGAACAAACGATACACTGCCCAGCCATGAGGCTTTAAGAACTTTTTTATTTCTCCTTGAATACTCTTCAGCTTCTCAAATGAACTGATGATTCAGTTGGAGTGGGCTACAGCTATAATCCGTGAACTTCTTATGAGAAATCAATTATATCTGCAGAGGGAGAGACCTCCGTGTCCATCTTCCCCTTCTCCTCCCTTCTCCTTGAGAACAAAACCACAGGATTCATCACAGAAATCCTCGGAAAGGATATACAGTTTTACCTTGCTTTGCGAGCATAATTCATTCTGGAAACAAACTACTTGTATTGCAAGACATTCCTTGTTTATCATGTTAAAATGTATTAGAAACGTTTGCTCGTCTTGCGGAACACTCGCAAACCACGTTACTCACAATCCAAGGTTTTACTGTATGTATATTTTTTTACTTAAAACATTAAAAAAATTTATCTATTCACTTATTTGTTTTTTAGAGCACTGATTTTGAGCAGGCAAATGAAAGAAACCACAGCAACAACTCAGTAACCATACTCACTTCCCTTCAGTGGCTCTGGAAGAGTTAAGCTCATGGCTTACTGTGTGGCTGTGAGTTTTTAACCAGTTTAATCACCTCGTTAAATTCTAAACCATTTCACTTCCAGCCAAAGGCTTATTATGCAAACATATGTCCCATTCTCACATAAACAGCACGGGAGTACAGTGGCTGAAGCTAGTAGGTGTCACCTGCACAGGGCCTCAGAGCCAAGGGGGGAAATTTAGAGTTTCTGACTTGGCAGCAAGCAGCCAAGGTTTTATTCGTCACCTGCTAAAGTCAGTAACTTCTGAAGTCCCAGAGACAGAAGGGACAGAAGGCGAATCTGAGCCCTGGCAGGATGACCATTAGCTTGTCAGATGGGCCCTCCGAGCTTCCAGAACAGCCCTGCAGACAGCATCTATCACTCTCGTGTCCCTGCTTGTTTCAAAATGAAAGTGCAACAGCAGGACCAAGCGTCAGATCTAAAAATATCAACAGGAACTTTTCCAGGATGCTTCCTTTTGAGACCATATAAATAACCCGCATAGGCTTCATAAAGCTCCTGCTGCCACAGCTCTTGCTTCCAGCATCGCGTGCTATTTCAAGCAGCAGCACCGACTCCCACCAGCACCTCTCTCCCTAAGGAGGTGGCAGGTGGGACAGGCTCGGGCCAGTTGGATAGGAGACAAGGCCGCAACTAGAGGCAGCGCTGGGTGTGAGGCCAGACGCATTGCAGTGTTATGTTCATTTATGTATTATTTAAATCCTAGTACTGCCAGAAGGATTTGTAGTGGTTTACACAATCACCCACACACTCTCTCTAGGAGTTAAAATTAAAAATAATAGCAGTAATTAAAAAGGAATCTTAAGCCATACTGAAAAAGGTTGGTAATAACAGGTTCTTTCTCTTTGGGCGTTATGTCCCTGGCAGTGGGTAAAATATTTTATAAACAGCAAATATGAGGGAATTAAGAGGATTGGGTAATAAAGGCAGAATTAGGAAGTTGGCACAGTTTATTTTGGTCATCCAGTTCCTCATTAAATATGTTCCTCAAACTCTCCATCCCTTTGCTATGCAAGATATTGGAAAAGAAGAAAGATCTAAAATCAATAATCTATGTTTCTACCTTAGGAAACTTGAAAAAGAAGAGAAAATTAAATCCAAAGTAAGCAGAAGAAAAGATACAAAAAATTAGAGCAGAAATTAATGAAATTGAAACTAGAAAATCAACAAAGCCAAAAGCAGGTTCCTTTGCTATGCAATTCATTGTGGTCCATCCTCTTTCTTTCCTTCTTTCTTTCCTTTCTTTCTCTCTTTCTTTCTTTCTTTAAGTAATTTTTAATCTTCAATTATTGTTAAAATACAATATTAGTTTCAGGTGTACAACATAGTGATTAGACATTTATATAACTTAATGAAGTGATTACCCCGATAAATCTAGTACCCATCTGACACCATATATAGTTATTATGTTGTTGACTATATTCCTTATGCTTTACTTTACATCCCCATGACCATATTGTAACAAACAATTTGTACTTCTTAATCCCTTCACCCTTTTCACCCACCACCCCTGCAACCCACCTTCCATTTGGCAACCATCAAAATGCTCTCTGTATCTGTGAGTTTGTTTCTGTTTTGTTTGTTCATCTGTTTTGTTCTTTAGATACCATATAAGTGAAAATATATGGCATTTGTCTTTCTCTGTCTGACTTACTCCACTCAGCACAATACCCTCTAGGTACATCCATGTTGTTTCAGATGGTAAGGTTTCATTTTTTTTTATTTTTTAAAAGATTTTATTGGGGAATTGAGGGAGGGGAACAGCGTTGGGGAATTGGGGAAGGGGAACAGACAAGTTGCTGTCCTTTTTTTTGTTCTTCAGTCTAGTTGTGGAGGATGCCGCTTCACTGGCCCATGTTGGTATTGTGATCATTGAGCTCTTCCCAGCTGAGGCAGATCGGTCGCCGGCCGTTGGACGGCCGCTCACAGCAGCTCACAGCAGCTCATGTCAGCTGCCAGCCACTCATGGTAGCTGACAGTAGCCCACTGCAGCCCACGCCGTCTCCAGTGACTCATGGCAGCCCAGCTCCAGGTAGAGTTGTTACTCACCATCTTAGCTGTAGAGGGCGCAGCGTCACTGGCCCATATGGGATCCAAACCGGTGGCCCTGCCGCTCAGAGCTCGCACTCCCAAGCCAACTCTCAAGCCACTCTGCCGGCCCCATTGTATTTTTATGGCTGAGTAATATTCCATTGTGTGTGTGTGTGTGTGTGTGCACACGCACATATACATGACCTCTCAGGACATCTACTACATAAGGCCACTCTAAGACAAGTAGACACAGCAGCCCTACCTAATACATAGAAACAAACACAGGGAGGCAGCCAAAATAGGGAGACAAAGAAACATGTCCCAAATGCAAGAACAGAACAAAGCTCCAGAAAAAGAACTAAACAAAATAGAGACAAGCAATCTACCAGATGCAGAGTTCCAAACACTGGTTATAAAGATGCTCAAAGATCTCAGGGAGAACATCATCAACAAAGAGGAACTATAAAAATGGAGATAGAAAACATAAAAAAGAACCAATCAGAAATGAAGAATATGATAAGTGAAATGAAGAATACATTACAGGAAATCAACAATAGAGTAGAGGAAGCAAAGTATCATATCAGTGATTCAGAAGATAAGGTAGCAGAAAACACCCAGCAAAAAGAATCCTAAAAAATGAGGATAGTTTAAGGGGCCATCCACTGCTTTCTTTACTTCTTCCAGAGGGCTCCCATCCCTGATGGAAGTGTGGGCATGCTGTCCCTGGCTCCCCTTCTGAGCCACCTCCATCTCCTCCCAGGAGATACGGCAGATGTAGAGAATATCATTCCCTATTGGGATCACTAGCCTCCCAAGGTGTCAGCAGGATACATGAATAATCTGTGTAATGAGGCCATGAGGATTAAGGGGACAGATGCATTTTAACTGTTCTCTCCCAAATATGATCATTTTTGCTTTACCCAAATGAATGACTTTTCCCTTCCCTCCTGGTAGATGCCTCAGAAATGGGGAGGATCATGGGAGAGTTGAGGCATTGCCTCATTCTGAATAAGTACCTCCTATCATACGAGACAAGTGGTTTTATTCAGTCAGAGGATTCCAGCACTTCCCTGAAGACTCATCGAGCAGATCTAATGAGTTCATCAAGGCTCCTCCCACTTTCCGGGTTGACACTCCCCCTGTTCCCCTGTCAGTCGGGTCTCCCACTACCATCTGCAATCTAGCAACTTCTTCTAAACTCTAAGCTAACCTTTTTGTGAGAAAAAAACAACAACAAAAGCAACTCTTTATGACTCATATCATTTTAATGACACCAACAGATGGTGACATTTCATCAATAACCCTTCTGCTTATAACCTACGGATTAGCTCCTTTCTCCATCTGCCAAAGTCACCAGGCAGGCAGTGCCACTAACAAATAGCAGAAAATAATTATCTGTTTAGATGCATAAGCTCTAAACACACTACTGTCCAATGCAAACAATTAGCGATATTGTACAGCTTCCAAAAGCTGAATTTGAGGTGGCTGTTGCTAGGACAGAAGAGACAAGGAGAAGAGACTGTCTTAGGCAGTACAAACAATACTCACTGTGGGGACTTCACAGGCTCTTGGGGGATGAGTCCTGCCGTAGAGAAGTCCAGTGGCCCAAAACCCTGGGGTGGGTTTGAGAGGTGCCCTGGAAGCAAGGCTGTCAGCATATTTTAGGGGAAATTCTCTTTTTCTTCTTGCCAGGTGCAATCTCACTCTGGTTCAATGGGCAACAGCTTGCAAACTGGTTAGGAAATTGGAAAAAAGAAATACAGCTCCTGGTCTGGGGGCCCATTTGCCTTTGCCCAAGCTGGGGCTGCTGGCCTGTTCATTAGTCTTAGCCCTGGGGGAGAGGCCGCTGAGGTTAGGGCACCGACTGTCCAGCTTTTCCTGGAGTTGTGGCATCCTGGCTTTGACCTTGCAACAACCCATCCTTACATCCTACAATTTCTGCAGATTTTCCTTAGAAAACAAACCAATGCAAAGTGACCCAGAAAAAATTCAAACAACTTTTGATACAGGGTTTAAAAGAGTTTGATACCTGCTGGATCTCTGTAGAAGCCCTGGACTTGTGCCAAACCAGGGCTAGCAGTGACTGCTTCAGGGTTCTGCAATCTGAGATGGAAAATCTGAGACCAGAATACATGATTCTAAGTTCCCACATAGTGGTGGGCTGGTTGTCACACCTTGAAGGCATCAGTGCAGCGTGGTGGG